GCCGTGCTATGAAAGTCAAAATCACGGCCCTCGAGAAGAATGGCACGTGGAGCCTTGTTTTTTTACCCCCTGGTAAACACGCTATTGATTGCAAATGGGTTTACAAGATTAAATTACTTCCGGATGGCACAATCGAACGGTACAAAGCGCGGTTGGTCGCAAAGGGATACACTCAAATCGAGGGCATTAACTTCCATGACACCTTCTTCCCAGTTGCTAAACTCGTCACAGTTCGGTGTTTGCTCGTTGTTGCAGTCAGTAAAGGCTGGTTCATTCATCAGCTGGATGTCAATAACGCTTTTATTCACGGTGATCTTGATGAAGAAGTTTATATGTGTATTCCGCAAGGGTTTGCGGCACCGGGGGAGACTCGTGTTTGTTGTCTCCATAAGTCATTATATGGTCTCTGTCAGGCATCTCGCAATTGGTATCACAATTTCACCACTGCCCTTTGTGAACTTCAGTTTCGGCCCTCTCATGCTGATCATTCTCTCTTCATCTATCACCAGGGCAGCACTTTTGTGGTTGCGCTTATCTATGTTGATGATGTTCTTCTTGCGGGAAATGATCTTGCCTTTATCAGCCGCGTCAAGTCCTTCCTGCATGATCGGTTTAGTATCAAAGATCTTGGCAGTATTCAATATTTCCTGGGGATTGAGGCAGCCCGCTCTCCTCAGGGTGTCATTCTCAGTCAACGCAAGTATGTTCTTGATATTCTCTCTGATGCAGGTGTCACTGGTTTCCGTCCTAGTGCGTTTCCTGTTGAGCAAAATCATCATCTCACTAGAGTGGATGATACGACTCCTCTTGATGATCCCTCTGCCTATCTTCGTCTTGTTGGACGTCTCTTATACCTGACTGTGACTCGTCTAGATATCTCCTATGGGGTTAACATTCTCGGTCAGGCTATGCATGCTCCCACCCATGCGCATATGGCTGCTGCGCATCGCATCCTTCGCTACTTGAAGGTTTCCCCGGGTCAAGGGCTTTTCTTTCCCTCTGGTAGTGATCTTCGTCTCACTGCCTACTGTGATGCGGATTGGGGTGGTTGAGAGTCCTCCCGTCGTTCTACTACGGGATATTTTATTAGTCTGGGTGGTGCTCTCGTCTCCTGACGCACAAAGAAGCAGCAGGTTGTTGCTTGTTCCTCTGCTGAGGCTGAATACCGCGCCATGGCTAGTACGATCAGTGAGCTCATTTGTTTACGCTGACTTCTTTCTGAGCTTGGTGCCCCGCGGTCTGGTCCCACTCCTCTTTACTGTGACAACCAGGTTGCCCTTCACATTGCTGCTAATCCTGTCTTCCACGAGCGAACGAAGCATGTTGAGATGGATTGTTACTTCGTTCTGGAACGTGTCCAGTCTCATGATATTGCTCCTCTCAAGGTCTCATCTCATCTCCAGCTTGCAGACCTCTTCACTAAAGGGCTTGGCGCCGAGCGGTTTCACTTTCTCATGTCCAAGCTGGGCATTCGTGACTTTCATGCTCCATCTTGCGGGGGAGTATTGGAGGTAACCCAGCCCGCTCATCACAAGGCCCAATCCTTGGCCCACACGGTCACGAACCTAGCCTGGCCAAGAGCCAATTGTGTAACCCTAGTAGACAGACGTGTAGGGTATAAATATTTGTGTATGGCCAGCGGCCAAATAATCAATCATCAATAAAATCATACACAACTGGAGAGGTGTTCCTCTCCCGTGGACTAGTCCCGTACATACGGGGATACCACGCAAATCGATCTTGTTCTTACGTTTCCGCACGATAGTTAGGTTATTTACAAATTACGTTCTTAACATTGGTTTGAATTTACTAACAGAAGAAAGATAAATAATTAAGTATCCAACAACACATCGCCTTGCAAATGGGAAACTATATGAAACAAAAATCAGGGCAACAAAGTCCGCTCCAAAATCTTGAAAGTCAAATAGAAAACGAAGACAACAAAATTGCAGTTATGGATCGGCGACGAAGGAAAAACCTACCTGAAGAAAACGCAAGCTAGGACACAGATTTTAAAGATGATGGATAGATCGATAGCTGCCTTTCAACAACCAACATAGGAATTTCCTACCGTAACTTGAAGTAAGGTAATTTGAATTTTTGTATCTGCGATAACAGGTTTCATAGGTTGCATTACGTAAAATACAATAAGCATTACATAATGGTTACGTATTATATGATAATCTTACGTAACAGTTCTAAGAGATTAGTATGAAAACCTTACGTAATAGAATGTGTCTTTACGTAATGAGTATTACCTCGCGTTACGTAAAAAGCTAGGTCATTACGGAAGCCTTACGTAACGCTACTGATTTAACTGTTACGTAAGAAATAATTTTCGTTACGTAACCTTTACGTAATGGAAGGTCTTTTACATAATGAGTATTAACCTCGCGTTACGTAAAGTGTAAATCATTACAGAAGCTTTACATAACGCTTCCGATTTAACTGTTACGTAAGAAATAACTATCGTTTCGTAACCTTTATGTAATGAATGTGTATTTTACGTAACATTTGTAAAATGTCATTACGGAAGCCTTACGTAATGAAAGGTCTCTTTACGTAATGAGTATTAATGTCGTGTTACGTAAAGAGCTAAGTCATTACGGAAGCTTTACGTAACGCTTTCGATTTCACTGTTATGTAAGAAATAACTATCGTTTCTTAACCTGTACGTAATTAAAAGGTCTTTTTACCTAATGAGTATTAGCCTCACATTACGTAAAGTGCTAAGTCATTACGAAGCCTTACGTAAAGCTTCTAATTTAATAAGAATTAAAATAAAGAAAGCAAATATATGTGAAAAATGTTACGAGAATCTAGCCATTGTAATAATTGGGCCTCGTTCTGGGCTTGCATATCTTTATCATTAGTATTTTATTGTTATTAGTCTTCTTTATTGTTTCATTGTATTGTTCTAGTAGGTTTGAGATGACCTTTTAGTATATTGTTTAAGGATTAATAGTTGTTTCCTTGTGGTAGAAGTAGTCATTTTCTAGGTAAGAAAAGGTAGAGGCTTTTGTGCCTATAAATATATACTAGTTCATTCGTTTAATAGAATGAAGAAGATTGGAACCCAAATCTAGTTTATTGTCTTTCGTTTATCGCAATTTACCGCGTTTTTTTCGTAGTTTTATCGTAGTTCGTTAGTTTTATCGCAAAGAAGTTACGAGACAAGAATTCTTCAATTTCGTGTCTTGTAACAAAGAAGGAAAAAAAACAAGAAAGGTAACTTGCATTGGTGGTGACCGGCAACCCCCTGTACCATTGATTTTATTACTTATTTTTTATTTCTTTAATCAATGTTTTAAAATAAGTCCGATCGATTTTAAGGGTATAGATCTACTGAATCGCTAAATGTCGCCCTAAGAATTGCTAAACGTCGCCCTAACTTAAAAGTCAAATTACATATATACCCTTAATGAAAATTTAAAAATTGGACCAGCCAAACAACCCTTTCACCCCTTCACCCTCCTTCCAGCGGGACTCTTCGGACTTCCCTTCCACCCTCTGCAATCTCATCCCCCCGCCGAGAAGAAGGTCCCGCCGGCAACCCCCTCCACCCTCTGCAGATCGCGCGCCGGAGAAGAAGGTCTCGCTCCCGTCGCCGGCCTCCTGCTCGCGTCGCCAGCCTCGCAGCCGTCCTTGCCCGCGCCAGCCTCCCCGCCGTCCCTCTCCGCCTGCGCCAGCCTCGCCGCCCACCAGCCTCGCCGGAGAAGAAGGTGAGAGTTGAGACCGCAGTCAAACCGCGGTTTGACCAGAGGCTGACCGCGGTCAACGCGCGGTTGACCGTCGGTCCAATAGCGGTTTGACCGCTTTTTTTTAAATTCTGTTTTTTGTTATTCAATAAATGTTAATAACAATAAATTAATTAAAAACATATACTTAATAAAAATAATTTAGTTATATATTTTGTCAATAATGATATAAAATTTAAAAAACGTATTCGATAAATGTTAATTAATGATAAAAATTTAAAGAACATTATAAAAAAATAAAAAATGTATTTTTATCATTTTAATAATCTAAATTTCAAAGTAATTCATTTATCTACTTAATTATTAATAATTTTACCTTGATTAATTATTTACTTTTATGTAAATAATGATTACATAGAACGTAACATAAATGTTCAAACTATTAATGTTATAATTTTAATTATGGAAATCTTAAATTAATTACTTTATGTACTCTATTATTAATAATCCATTATTAATAATTCAAACTTTTTTTTGAAGATGTCTGGACATGGAATGGGTAAATCGGATATGATTAAGGCGAGAAATAAGGAGAGAATGGAAGGTCGTGCTTGTAGACTTACGGCGACTGGTAGGAAGGAAAATGAAGAAAAAAATCCACCTAAGGTTAGAAGGAAGAAGAAGAAGGCGGATGTAGTGCGCCCTGACGGCCACCCTACTGTAGGGCAGTTGTCTCTTAGTCGAGGTACTACCAGTACTCCTACACCAGATAGCGCACCGGTATGGCAGGCTAACTGGAGTGATTCCATTGACGAGGATGATGATGATGACGGTGATGCTGAGGTTGGGAATGCCCCAGATGCTGGTGATGCTGCTGGTGATGCTGAGGTTGGGGATGCCCCACCTCAAGCTGATTTAGGCGTGGGGAAGACGGCGCGGGTCGGGATATCTTCTACTGCCTCCTCCCACTTCCGTGGGCCCGATGGACGCTATGCGTCCAGACCTAGTAGCGAGGATGGTGGAGATGGAAATAGGAAGAGGAAGACCACGAGGAAAGATATGTCGTGGTTTCTTACAGCCAAGTCTCCGATGTGTTCAGGTGGACCAGTGATTCCCGATGTGATCGCTAGCTTTGGAGGTCACATTGGCTTTGTACTGTGGACTTCCCCTGAGCAGGACCGTGGAGTGTTGGACGGCTTCCATAGGCCGAAAGCTGTAGAGACTTTGAGGCGATATAAGTGGAGTGCAGAGGGTTCCAAGGAGATGGTTGAAGCCACAGGATTGTCTCACTTGACAGGGTGCATGATGCTGCATTTAGATATGGCTCTACTTTCGGCATTTGTGGAGAGGTGGCAGCCGGACACAAACACCTTCCACATGCCGTTTGGAGAGATTTCGATCCTTCTACACGATGTGCATCACATTCTTCAGATACCGGTTGACGGAGAGCTTATGGGAGATGAGGCGTCGCCGGATACTCTTAAGTCAGACATGGGTGGTCTAGTTCGAATTTCGGTGGATGCTCAGGTTGGTGGTAAGTGAAAGTATAAGTGGTACGATAATGGTGCTATGCATGCAGAGGGATTGTTGGTGCGTGGGGGAGAGCTGAAGATTAAGGAGATGGAGGTTCAGTGTTACCTATTTGTGTTACTGGGATCCACGCTTTTTGTGGATAAGAGTCGTGATCGCCTTCGTCCTGCGATCAACTTGTTTCCGAAGGATCATCGACGATTGACTGATTACGCTTGGGGAGCTGGTGCACTAGCCTATCTCTACAGATAGTTGGGAGTGGCCACACGAGCGGGTAGTAAGGGTCTTTGTGGTTGTTTGACAATGCTTCAGGCTTGGATATATGAGTACTTTCCTCTATTCCGTCCAAGCCAGCTGCCGCAGTCTCCGGATGCACCTCGTGCTTCCTGGTGGATTTCTCCCCGTTTGCCAGGTGGGGATGAGGCTAGACAGAGGTTAGCACGTTATCGACAGTTGTTGGATGAGCTTTCAGCTGATGTTGTGACCTGGACTACGTACGGACGAGATGGCCACACAGATATACCTCGCCCCTTGTATACTGGCCCCATTCGCTTTTCTGACATTACTGAGGGATACGATCCTGCACGTTGTCTGCGCCAGTTTGGATACCAACAGATTATCCCCCGTGCTATGACGGTGCCACATGACCAGTACCGTCTGGCTTCCGGCAGCAGTTACATAGTCTTTTGGGATCCGTGGGGGAATCAGTTGTGGGATAACGTGGCAGCCCGTCGTCTAGATTTGAATTTTGCTTCTCGGCCGTGCGAGCACCCATCAGAGATCGTGGAGGAGTACGTTGACTGGTTTCTGACTAGATCGCACCCACGGATCACCCACCCCACTGATGGGGTGCCTTAGCCTCGACCACTACTAGTTCATCAGGTTAGTTATGACTTTCTTTTGCTTTTCCAAATATAAAGGACATTTGTTATTTATTCTAACATTGTTTTCTATTTACAGTTGAGAGAGCATATTGTGGATCGTTTAGGTCCCGTGTTGCTGACGAGGGACCGGAGTAAGTGGGAGGAGGACGGTGGTAAGTTCTATGATATGGTAGCTGGGGTTCACGAGTTGTACGACCAATTGGTAGGGCAGCCGCCTCAGTAGACGATTGTGTTTTTTATTTGTCATCGTTTGTAGTTGAACTGAGACTATTGTGCTTTTTATTTGTCATCGTTTGTAGTTGAACTGAGACTATGGTGTGTTTTATTTGTCATCGTTTGTAGTTGAATTGAGACGATTGTGTTTTTTTACTTTAGTTACATTCAATGCATTGCTAAAATAGTTAATCAACATGGTAGATTACTAAATGTTTCAACAATAGAGAGTTATACAATTCGTAAATATACTTCCAATCGTCATCCCCGAGGGTTCAAACTATCATAAAGCGCACGCTCATGTAAGAAGAATTGATCCCACCCATTGACACTAGGGTCATGGAAAATAGGCCAAAGGCCATTAATTGGAGGCATGGGCACTTGACCATGTCGAAAGTCAAGTCGCACCCAATGATCCCCCGTAAAATGTAGTGATAAGATCCCACGTGATCTTATTACTCTTGGTGGGGCCGTCATAGGTAGCACGGTATAACGACCGCCTTGACTGTATACAACGATAGCCCATGAATGCAAGGTGGCGAAGACGAAGAGTTCCACATTATCCATCCAGTTGGGAGGTCCACAACCACTTGTTGATGCCCACCTGCAACGTCGAATGCCATTTTCTATTCCATTTGCTATTCCATCATAGTACTCTCTATAAAGCTCAGGACGGGATTCAAGCTCCTCTACAACAGCGCGTCTCATTTGTGGCCAATTCCTTTGGTCCCCAGTAACTGCTTGTGATATAGCTCGAAATCCACAGTGTCCATCTGGATTAGGGGTGGGCGTTCGTTCGGTCGGTTCGGTTCAAACCGAACCGAACCAGTATATGCCGATTTTCCGAGATTACAAATACCCCAACCGAATTCGAACCGAACTATATTTCGGTTCGGTTTGCCCGAACCGAAATATAGCTCGGTTCGATTCGGATTTTTCTGTCAAAACCAAATTTATGCAGCGTGAAGACTTCCCCTCTTTGCCTTCACCCATTACCTCGCTCTCTCTCCTCTTTTTGCTCTTCTCCGCTTTTTCTCCCTCTCTCTAGCTATCTAACTCTGCCTCTTTCCCAATTCCCATAAGCAGAGCAACAAAGCCAACCCTCCCTGCCTCTTCGTCGTTCCCAGCTCCCACAAAGCCCAACCCTCCCCGACTCTTCGTTCTCCCCCAAATCAATTCGTCTCATGTCCCTCTATCCCCGACCATCGTCTCCGCTCCCCGAATCCCCCAACCCCAACCATGCATCTCATCCTCCACCTTCGACATAGATTCAAAAATCTCCCCCAATCACCCCCAATCTCATTGATTCTCTCTCATCGACTCACTGGACACTGGCAGAGGCTACCAATGACACATGCACCGCCGGGGTCAGCAGAGGCCACCGATGACACATGCGCCGCCGCGGGAAGCAAGAACAGATCCAGACTCTCCTTCGATTCAACATTTGTTTTTGTTTTTGTTTTTGTTTGATTCTGTTTTGTTCTAGGTTTGCTAATCTGAGGTTTTGTCTTTTTTGATTTGGTTGGTTTTGATTATAAATGGCCGGCGATGAGAAGAGAATGGGGAGAGGGAAAGGATAGGACTCCAATGGCCGGCCAGAGGAAGTTGGCAGCGGTACATCCACGGCAGGGGGGATGGCGACGGCAAAGAGGCAGGATGCTGGTTCTGGAAGAAGAAGAAGATATGATTTTGGAATGGGCTAGGGTTTTAGTGGCAGAGAGTGGGCTTGGGGTTGTGGGTGGTATGTGTGTGATAACTCGGTATTTGCACATGTTTTCCCCTTTTGTTTCTTGATTGTTTGAGCTTGAATTACCGTGTCTTTGACCGATTTTACGCTAGGTTGTGTTCCTTTGTCACATTTCAGGTTCTAGCACATAAAGTGAAGCATAGGCGCAAGTTTCAAGTCAATCAGAGATCAATTGACGATTTGGGAGAAGACACTCGGGCATGACCTGAAGAAGAATGGATTTCTACCTCACTTTATGGACAGAGAATCATGCAAGCTTGTTATGAAACGAAAGAGGACGAGACTACGAGCGTCTGGGATCAAACGGCGACTGATTCGGAGTCCGGACGAGGGAGAAACGAAGCATTAAACAGAGGCTGAGCAAGCTGCACGGGCAGACCAGGGAGGCGCACGGCCGTGCAACATATAATTCTGGCCGTGCGAGATTGTGCGTGGCCACGCACGGCCGTGAAACATACAATTTTGGCCGTGCGGGTTGGTGCGTGGGCACGCACGGGCACAAGTGAAATCCGCACGGCCGTGCAAGGTGCAATCCTGGCCGTGCGAGTTGGTTGAGGTTCGACTTAATGAAACGGCGCGTTTTGAGGTGCACGGCCAGAATGGTGATGTGCATGGCCGTGCACCCTGGCCGTGCGAGTCGGGAATTGTTGTTTAAAACCCGATTTTCAGCGAAAGGAAGGGGGGAGAGCTGGGTTTTGGATCCCAAACACCCAAGGGACGAACCCTAGAGAGAGAGCGACTTGGAAACATTCTTGGAGCTATTTTGGAGGATTTCTTCGCCATTGGAGCTCGGGAATCAAGCTTGGAGATGGAGATTGAAGATCTAGATCAGATTTCTGCAGTCTCTCTCTTCTCTATGGAGTAACTTCCCTTCACTTAGGTTTTGAGGAACCCTAGTTCCTTGTGTTAGGGATTTGATTGTAATGACTTGGGATGATATTACTGTTTGATTTTAATCGAATGATGCATGTTTATTGAATTGATTTGAGTCTGATCAGCTTGTCTCAATTTCTGCTTCAACCTGAGATAGATAGAATCTGATTAGGTTGTTAGAGCCTCTTCATTCGATAGTAGGAGAGTGGCTATACGAGAGTTAGCCAGTTTACTGCTTTGTACTGGAACTCATTCCAGTAGTGGAGATCTGTGTGAATCGCCTTAGCAGTCTATCCCGGTGAAGGCTAGTCACCTGCCGGGTATTCTGTCTGAGAGGGCTTGGTCAGCTTAAGAGATTCCAAGCTAATTTAGGATCTTCCGCAGTTTAATCAATAGTAGATCAACCAAAGGTAATTGCAACTTGGACCTAATTGAGGAGCTAGGGGGAATCATCCCTAAGTGAGTTCCCAACTTGTAATTAGTAGAGTAGTTAGTAGAGTAGTTTAGTAAATCAATCCTTAATCTAGTTTGCTAGATAATGAACTGAAGCTGAGTAATAGTAACTCTAGAGACCCGTGGATTCGATATTTATTACTTGTGCCACTATACTGCAGTCCCTTTCATTGGTTACACTTGGCCATTGTTAGGTGTTGTGTTTTAGCGTGTCAAGTTTTTGGCGCCGTTGCCGGGGACTTTCTAGATTATTAGGAAAGGCAGAAGTTTGTTACTTTAGTTTTTTTTTCTTTTCTTTTCCACCCTTGCTTTTCACTTGGGTGTTTTTGTTTTTGTTGGTGCAGATCTGAATCATGGATCCTCATGGCTTCTCCAACCATTGGGGGTATCCACCACCATCCGAGTGGTATTACCCCGAGACCCCCTGGAGCAATCAAGGAGGAGAAGACTATGGATTCGGGTTTCAGTACCAACCCCCATCCTACGAAGAACAATCAGACCCCTGGGTATTTAAAGAACAATCTCCTTATCAAGAAGAATTCCTCCATCAGCCAGATCCAAACTATCACTTGAGGCTTCTCGTGGAGCAGATTGCTCGAGTGCCTGAGACATCCTTTCCAAAGATGGATATCCCAGACAATGCCCAAACTGGGTTCTCCTACCATGAAACAGAGGAGACCCTCCTGAGCATAAAGAAGAGCCTCGAGGATCTTGAGAAAGCTTATGCACAACCTGCTCCAGATCACCTTTCTGCTACCATACTAGAAGAGAAGGAGGAAGAAGAAGGCTACAAGGACATTGTGGAGCACACTGAAGTTGTCACGGAGAGCTCTCGTGATGAT